AGCAGACGCTTTTATCCAAAGCGACTTACTAATGAGAACAGTAGAAGCAGTGAAACTAACAGTAGGACAACAATATGCAAGTGCTATGACCCTTCTCAGTTTCAACTAACGCAGTCCATGTAAAAAAAAAATGTTCCGACCAGGAGTGCGTTTCCAGAAAGCATCGTTATCCAACTATGATCGCAATTTCCATTGAACACGGAACATTGAACACGGAACTATTGGTAACGACGGAACTTGCGACCATAGTTGGCCAACGATGCTTTCGGGAAACGCAGCCCAGAACGAGCTCTGAGCCAGATCAGACCAGACCGGACAGGACCAGACCAGACCAGACCAAACCGGGCTCAGACCCAGAACTGACCAGACCAGAACGAGCTCTGAGCCAGACCAGAACAGAACAGAACAGACCAGACCGGACCAGACCAGACCAGACCGGACAGGACCAGACCAGACCAGACCAAACCGGGCTCAGACCCAGAACTGACCAGACCAGAACGAGCTCTGAGCCAGACCAGAACAGTCCAGACCGGACCGAACCGGACCAGACCAGACCAGACCAGAACGAGCTCTGAGCCAGACCAGAACAGACCAGACCAGACCGGACCAGACCAGACCAGCAGACCCAGAACTGACCAGACCAGAACGAGCTCTGAGCCAGACCAGAACAGACCAGACTGGACCAGACCAGACCAGCAGACCCAGAACTGACCAGACCAGAACGAGCTCTGAGCCAGACCAGAACAGACCGGACCGGACCGGACCAGACCAGACCAGACCGGGCTCAGACCCAGAACTGACCAGACCAGAACGACCTCTGAGCCAGACCAGAACAGACCAGACCGGACCGAACCGGACCAGACCAGACCAGACCAGAACGAGCTCTGAGCCAGAACAGACCAGACCAGACCGGACCAGACCAGACCAGACCAGACCAGACCAGACCAGACCGGGCTCAGACCCAGAACTGACCAGACCAGAACGAGCTCTGAGCCAGACCAGAACAGACCGGACCGGACCGGACCAGACCAGACTAGACCGGGCTCAGACCCAGAACTGACCAGACCAGAATGAGCTCTGAGCCAGACCAGAACAGACCAGACCGGACCGAACCGGACCAGACCAGACCAGACCAGAACGAGCTCTGAGCCAGACCAGAACAGACCAGACCAGACCGGACCAGACCAGACCAGCAGACCCAGAACTGACCAGACCAGAACGAGCTCTGAGCCAGACCAGAACAGACCAGACTGGACCAGACCAGACCAGCAGACCCAGAACTGACCAGACCAGAACGAGCTCTGAGCCAGACCAGAACAGACCGGACCGGACCAGACCAGACCAGACCAGACCGGGCTCAGACCCAGAACTGACCAGACCAGAACGACCTCTGAGCCAGAACAGACCAGACCGGACCGGACCAGACCGGGCTCAGACCCAGAACTGACCAGACCGGCTCAGACCAGACCAGAACGAGTTCTGAGCCAGACCACACCAGACCGGACCAGACCAGACCAGAACTGACCAGACCAGAACTGACCAGACCGGGCTCAGACCAGAACTGACCAGACCGGGCTTAGACCCAGAACGGGCTCAGACCTGAACGGACCGGACCAGACCAGAACAGACCGGACCAGACCAGAACAGACCGGGCTTAGACCCAGAACTGACCAGACCAGAACGGGCTCAGACCAGACCATTTACATTTATTCATTTAGCAGACGCTTTTATCCAAAGCGACTTACTAATGAGAACAGTAGAAGCAGTGAAACTAACAGTAGGACAACAATATGCAAGTGCTATGACCCTTCTCAGTTTCAACTAACGCAGTCCATGTAAAAAAAAAATGTTCCGACCAGGAGTGCGTTTCCAGAAAGCATCGTTATCCAACTATGATCGCAATTTCCATTGAACACGGAACATTGAACACGGAACTATTGGTAACGACGGAACTTGCGACCATAGTTGGCCAACGATGCTTTCGGGAAACGCAGCCCAGAACGAGCTCTGAGCCAGATCAGACCAGACCGGACAGGACCAGACCAGACCAGACCAAACCGGGCTCAGACCCAGAACTGACCAGACCAGAACGAGCTCTGAGCCAGACCAGAACAGAACAGAACAGACCAGACCGGACCAGACCAGACCAGACCGGACAGGACCAGACCAGACCAGACCAAACCGGGCTCAGACCCAGAACTGACCAGACCAGAACGAGCTCTGAGCCAGACCAGAACAGACCAGACCGGACCGAACCGGACCAGACCAGACCAGACCAGAACGAGCTCTGAGCCAGACCAGAACAGACCAGACCAGACCGGACCAGACCAGACCAGCAGACCCAGAACTGACCAGACCAGAACGAGCTCTGAGCCAGACCAGAACAGACCAGACTGGACCAGACCAGACCAGCAGACCCAGAACTGACCAGACCAGAACGAGCTCTGAGCCAGACCAGAACAGACCGGACCGGACCGGACCAGACCAGACCAGACCGGGCTCAGACCCAGAACTGACCAGACCAGAACGACCTCTGAGCCAGACCAGAACAGACCAGACCGGACCGAACCGGACCAGACCAGACCAGACCAGAACGAGCTCTGAGCCAGAACAGACCAGACCAGACCGGACCAGACCAGACCAGACCAGACCAGACCAGACCAGACCGGGCTCAGACCCAGAACTGACCAGACCAGAACGAGCTCTGAGCCAGACCAGAACAGACCGGACCGGACCGGACCAGACCAGACTAGACCGGGCTCAGACCCAGAACTGACCAGACCAGAATGAGCTCTGAGCCAGACCAGAACAGACCAGACCGGACCGAACCGGACCAGACCAGACCAGACCAGAACGAGCTCTGAGCCAGACCAGAACAGACCAGACCAGACCGGACCAGACCAGACCAGCAGACCCAGAACTGACCAGACCAGAACGAGCTCTGAGCCAGACCAGAACAGACCAGACTGGACCAGACCAGACCAGCAGACCCAGAACTGACCAGACCAGAACGAGCTCTGAGCCAGACCAGAACAGACCGGACCGGACCAGACCAGACCAGACCAGACCAGACCAGACCAGACCAGACCGGGCTCAGACCCAGAACTGACCAGACCAGAACGACCTCTGAGCCAGAACAGACCAGACCGGACCGGACCAGACCGGGCTCAGACCCAGAACTGACCAGACCAGAACGAGGTCTGAGCCAGATCAGATCAGACCAGACCAGACCAGACCGGACCAGACCAGAACGAGCTCTGAGCCAGACCAGAACAGACCAGACCGGACCGGACCAGACCAGACCAGAATGGGCTCAGACTAGGGCAGCACAGACGCCGCTGTAGACCATAATAAATGGTTCACATTTGATGATGGCTGTAAACTGGGTAAAACTGCAGTCTGAATCAACTAGACCAGTGCTTCTCAAACCTGTCCTGGAGGAACATTCTGGATCCCTTCTTATCGAAGACATCGGATAATGAAGGCGGTGCAGTGATGGGGGTCCTGGTTCTGAACTAGACAGTGGTATATATATATATATATATATTTCAGAGCTGCCAACTTTTGAGTTTAGCTTGGCGTGAGACTTTTCCGACGGCGGGGGATGGGGTGGGGGGTGGGTGGTGACGACGACATTCTCCAACGGGGGGAGGGGGGCAAGACTTCAAGACTTCATCCCCCCCCTGTGCGCGCGCTACGCAGTTTAGACCATAATCTCTGTCTCGCGTGCGCGCTCGCTCTAGATTCCGGGAGATTTTAACTAATTTTCGGCATAACTAGTCGATCACGAGACGGCTCAACAGGTAGATATATAGATAAACTCATCTTCCAGGCATTTGACCGACCAGGGGTGCGTTTCCCGAAAGCATCGTTAGCCAACTATGGTCGCAAGTTGGTCGCAAATACCATTGAACTCTATTGGTAACGACGGAACTTGCGACCATAGTTGGCTAACGATGCTTTCGGGAAACGCACCCCAGGTTGACACTTCAGCGTGAGAAATCGGGGGTGTGGCGTGAGAGCGTGTGAAACCAATCAAATGCGTGTGTCTCACGGCCAAAGCGTGAGAGTTGGCAGCTCTGATATTTGACTGTACTTGTATAATAACACACACTGGGACTTTCAATAATACAACCCCCCAGTTCTTACATGCTTTTCTTTCAGAAACATTCACACTATTCCAACATCGCTCAGCTTTTAACTCTTTCCCCGCCATTAAAAAAAAAGTTGCCAGCCACCGCCAGCATTTTTGATCAATTTCTCTAAAATCGTATTTTTGTCAAAGACGTTGTCTTGATAGGATTCAGAACGATAGATGCAGTAGAGTCCATCATCACCCCTAAAGCTTCACAAATGTTCCTCTTCATGGGATCGAAATTTCATTAAGTAACGTTAGACGAATTTCATTTATATGCTGTTGAATGTTTGATGATCGCGTTATTTCACATGAGCGCCAGCAATGCTTCTCTCGCTTGTTTCTGCTTCACCTGTTTAGATCCCGAGATGCGTAACAGCGCCCTCTACTCTATAACAGTGAAAACATGGATTGCAGGAAATTTCCATCAATGCTGGGGAAGCGTTGTCAGAAATTATGGCAAATTTGATCAATGGCGGGGAAATGGTAACCCATGATCATATTAATACCTAACAAACATCGTTAGAGCTTCTCTTTCTTCATTTATCCGTGCTCAACATACAGGTTTGTTTTTGTATCTTAGTGGGGATTTTCCATTGGCTTCTACTGTTTTTATACCAAGTTAATATGTTCTTCCCCCTCCTCTTAACCCTTACAGAAAGCTTTTTGCATTTTTACATACTAATTAAAACATTATTTAGCATGTTTATTAATCTGTTTTCTTCATAGAGGCAACTGGACCCCACAATGTAGGTTAAAGCTGTATACACTATCACACTCACACTCAAACGCACACACTCACATGCACTCTCTCTCACACACACACACACAGTTGGTGCAGTGATGCTCACAATGAACAAGACGATTAAAAGCAGTTTTTTACTGTAGAAAAACAATCAGATGAATTACACACTATAATCAAACACAGTAATCTTCAGAATGCCGAACGCAGGGTCCTCTTCAACAGAAGTCAGTTTCTCGTCCCCTGTAGGGTATCCACCAGAATCTTGTTGTACTCCTGCAGATGTTTGTTGACAGTCTTCACCACTGGCCGGTAATCGCTCTCGACAGCTTTCGAGGCGATGACTGTATAATAGAGTTAGGGATCATGAGACGTTACAAGTCACCTGTGTCTACACTTCTGATGAGAACTTCTCCTAGAAAAACACACATTATAAAAGGATACATTCTTTCATCACAAAGTTGTTCTGCTCCAGATGTTGCCATTTCCTCTCCATATTGGTGAGCTGCAAAGTGAACAGTCACATTAGAGAGCAATACATCAAATCCAAAAACACAACCCCAGAAAGCGTGGTTCCTGTTTACACGCATATGTGAGTGTTGTGCTCTTAACCCATCAGCGAGCATCTCTTTCTGCTCTGGACCTCAACTCAACTCAACTCAACTCAACCCAACCCAATTAAACTCAACTCAACTCAACTCAACTCAACTCAACTCAACCCAACCCAATTAAACTCAACCCAACTCAACTCAACTCAACTCAACTCAACTTAACTTAACTTAACTTAACCCAACCCAACCCAACCCAATTAAACTCAACCCAACTCAACTCAACTCAACTTAACTCAACTTAACTCAACCCAACCCAATTAAACTCAACCCAACCCAACCCAACCCAACCCAACCCAACCCAATTAAACTCAACCCAACTCAACTTAACTCAACTTAACTTAACTTAACTCAACTCAACTCAACTCAACTCAACTCAACTCAACTCAACTCAACTCAACCCAACCCAACCCAACCCAACCCAACCCAAATAAACTCAACCCAACCCAACCCAACTCAACTGTATCTTTATAGCGCTTAATATCCAACAGTGTTATTGATCTGGCCGCACTGACGCTGCTGTACGAGAACTGAACTGAGCTGATGATGACATCACTGTGTTCTCCAAATCTGCTTTATAGAGGAAATGAACTAATTTAATAACTGATGATCTTTACAACAGAACTGAATCAACACTGAACTGACTTGAGTTCGAAAGCCATTTTCTGCCTGTTATCTCTGTAAAGCTATTTTGGAACAATCTGTATTGTATAAAGCGCTGTAGAAATAAAGGTTTGACTTGACACAGTTTCAAAGCAGCTTTACACAGTCATACTGTTATGTATATAATGCCTTATAAAGCCTTATGTGAAGCTGCTTTGAAACAATGTGCATTGTGAAAAGTGCTATAAAAATAAAAATGCACTTGACTTAATGCTTTAACAGCATTTTTAAAGCTGGGAGATATGATGATACATATAACAATGGTTTTAATTATACCATGAAATTAGATCAACCAATATTTTGTATTTATTTTGTGTAGAAGATTTATCAGTGCCAGAGAGTCTTGGGTAAAAGCATGAGCATTCGAATGTAATTAAAGCTGCAGTGAACAGAAGTTCTCCATCCTTGAGAACCGAGCCAGTCTGATTCATGACAGGGATCCTATAAATGATGGGAGCATCCCATATTTAATGATTAAATAAGGAAAATTGCATTTACATGACATTTCATAATGCTGCTCCAAATTATTTCTCCAAAACCCTTGTGATAAGCCGTTTTCTTGACAGCATGTAAACATGGTTACTGTCACTGTGAGAGGAATAGGGGTGACTCTGATCTCGAGGTTTACCCATGACCTGCACTAACCCAACCTGTGTTGTATAAACAGAGTTCCTACACATTTTACATTTCAAAATTCCATACTTTTCCAGACTCAAATTTCCAAACCTCTGTAGATTATGCTTTTTCGAATATTCCCTTTCATGCAATGTGTAATGCAGCTTTCTACAAAGGTCTGAAGACGAAAAAGCATGCGCTAAAAAAAGTTATTGTTTCTCAAAAGAAAGAATCGACAGCCTAAACGAGTCATCAGGAATTTGAATCCCACTTCGGTGACGGCTACACGGCGCTGGGTAACACATTTGCCTAACGCCCTCCTATGTTCTACGTTGTCCACCCGCGAACAACTTGACCCGCCCTCACTTCGTGTTGTGTATGTCGAGAAGACGCTGTTTTCTACTCTGCAAATGCAAATTTTCAATTTGTAAACACTTCCAAAGGACGAGGATGTGAAGAGTCTGGTTAAAATGACCACAGCGAAACAACAGCAGTATAACCTTTTGACGAATGCTTCTCAAATCTCCATGAAGTCTAAATGAGGTTTACAAAACGCTCCACGTCCATTAAAGATGAGGCGGCACCCACTTTATCAGTAAGTATGATTATTTATTGATGTATATATTTCCTACTGGGTCTTCTAGCGTATCACTGAGAAACGTCCTGCTCAAGCCGTGCTTGCGATGGAGCTTCGGGTTGAATAACTAGTTCTTCCAATGTTTCATCATCGGACTCGAGCTTGGATTGATACGGTTATATCGACAACATTGTTACTGTCTTTACAGTGTGTACAATTGCTATAGGGCGTAATATGGGCATTTAGCTTCCGACAAGCACTGTAAGTGGTAGACCAATCACAGCAGACTGCTCTGTCTGGCCAATCACAACATACTTGGCTGTCTGGCCAATCACAGCAGACTGGTCTGTCTGGCCAATCACAGCAGACTGGTCTGTCTGGCCAATCACAACATACTTGGCTGTCTGGCCAATCACAGCAGACTGGTCTGTCTGGCCAATCACAGCAGACTGGTCTGTCTGGCCAATCACAGCAGACTGGTCTGTCTGGCCAATCACAGCAGACTGCTCTGTCTGGCCAATCACAACATACTTGGCTGTCTGGCCAATCACAGCAGACTGGTCTGTCTGGCCAATCACAGCAGACTGCTCTGTCTGGCCAATCACAGCAGACTGGTCTGTCTGGCCAATCACAACATACTTGGCTGTCTGGCCAATCACAGCAGACTGGTCTGTCTGGCCAATCACAGCAGACTGCTCTGTCTGGCCAATCACAGCAGACTGGTCTGTCTGGCCAATCATAGCAGACTGGTTTGTCTGGCCAATCACAGCAGACTGGTCTGTCTGGCCAATCACAACATACTTGGCTGTCTGGCCAATCACAGCAGACTGGTCTGTCTGACCAATCACAGCAGACTGGTCTGTCTGGCCAATCACAGCAGACTGCTCTGTCTGGCCAATCACAGCAGACTGGTCTGTCTGGCCAATCACAGCAGACTGGTCTGTCTGGCCAATCACAACATACTTGGCTGTCTGGCCAATCACAGCAGACTGGTCTGTCTGACCAATCACAGCAGACTGGTCTGTCTGGCCAATCACAGCAGACTGCTCTGTCTGGCCAATCACAGCAGACTGGTCTGTCTGGCCAATCACAACATACTTGGCTGTCTGGCCAATCACGGCAGACTGGTCTGTCTGGCCAATCACAGCAGACTGGTCTGTCTGGCCAATCATAGCAGACTGGTTTGTCTGGCCAATCCCAGCAGACTGGTCTGTCTGGCCAATCACAACATACTTGGCTGTCTGGCCAATCACAGCAGACAGGTCTGTCTGGCCAATCACAACATACTTGGCTGTCTGGCCAATCACAGCAGACTGGTCTGTCTGGCCAATCATAGCAGACTGGTTTGTCTGGCCAATCACAGCAGAATGGTCTGTCTGGCCAATCACAACATACTTGGCTGTCTGGCCAATCACAGCAGACTGCTCTGTCTGGCCAATCCCAGCAGACTGGTCTGTCTGGCCAATCACAACATACTTGGCTGTCTGGCCAATCACAGCAGACTGGTCTGTCTGGCCAATCACAGCAGACTGGTCTGTCTGGCCAATCACAGCAGACTGGTCTGTCTGGCCAATCACAGCAGACTGGTCTGTCTGGCCAATCACAACATACTTGGCTGTCTGGCCAATCACAGCAGACTGGTCTGTCTGGCCAATCACAGCAGACTGCTCTGTCTGGCCAATCACAGCAGACTGGTCTGTCTGGCCAATCACAGCAGACTGGTCTGTCTGGCCAATCATAGCAGACTGGTCTGTCTGGCCAATCACAGCAGACTGGTCTGTCTGGCCAATCATAGCAGACTGGTCTGTCTGGCCAATCACAGCAGAGTAGGCTCGCGAGGAGGGATTTAAAGAGATCATCGGACCTGCGTTTGAGAATCATTGAAATATGTAGTGATGTGCAATGTACATTATGAGAAAATGAAAGCGTTTTTTTGTAGGAGACCTCCATTTTCAGCCCCCCAAAAAATGTTTTTAAGCCAGTTATTTATATATTTAGCTGTAGTGTCAGTAGACATAGGTTATAGTATATATAAAACTAGAAATGGTAATTTCTGGTGTGCATGCAATGCAAAAGTCTGTATATACACTACTGTGCAAAAGTCTGTATATACACTACTGTGCAAAAGTCTGTATATACACTACTGTGCAAAAGTCTGTATATACACTACTGTGCAAAAGTCTGTATATACACTACTGTGCAAAAGTCTTAGGCACGTTAGTATTTTCACCCCAAATTCATTAATTGTAAAGATTTTTGTATGCACAAGGAGTGACATATACAGTAGTGTATACAGACTTCTGCATGCACACAAGAAACTTTTTACATCATGAAGTTATATGTAACAAAGTTTCAGGAGGAGCACGTTCAGGTCCTCAACCAATCAGCACAAGCGGAGCCGGTATCCCTCTGTCCCGTGACAGTTTCCCAGCACCCCTCCACCCCCCCACCACCTCACTCTCGGCTGCTGTTCTATCCCAGTCAAAGGGGGGATGAATTACTATATCGCATAAATTACTATATTTGATTTCATGTACGTGAACTCGTGAATTTTTTGCATGCTTACGCATTACAATTTCTAGTTTTATAAATACCATAGCCTATGTCCTTTGTGTGTCCCTGTCTTACTATGAAGAAAAAGAGAGCATTGACGAACATGAATTAATAGAAATCTAGGCCTATTTGCTCAAGATTTGGCTTTCCTAAGGGAACCTCTAATATCAAGGCCTAATGTCCGATGGCACAATATAGTCTATGCTAAGTTTAATAGTTTCTCGTGCGCACACGAAAGTCTGTATATTTTTTCATTTTTGCAAAGGTCCTTTTAGAGGCTCTGTAATACGGTGCTAAGCATATCATGAGAAGAACCCAAACACGCGTATAACCTGCCACAATCATTCAGTTGTGTTTGACAATCACTAAAGAATCGCTAAACAACTGCCATGAAAACACACTTGTATGATAAATCTATTTTCATTCAATTCTTTTAAATTCATTAGATTTTCTATTATAGAAAACTAAACAGGGGCAATGGTCTGGAAATGCAAATAGTTTTCCATACTCTTTCTTTTTCCTAACTGCGTAGGAACCCTGTATAAAGCACTATATAAATAAATAAAGGTGACTTGCCTAAAGAGTTCAAAAAGAGGAAACCCTTGCTATTAAAGTGCATTATGGGAGACGGTGAAGAGAGGGCATTCCCTGTGTTTATGATGTGTGTGTATAGCCATCTCCGTTAGCAGAACCCTCATGAGACCCAGCCTTCGAGCGGCGCAGAAGCTGAACACTGTGTTCCCGAGAGGCTTCTCACCTCCACATGCGTCTCGTTCTCCTGCAACTGCTGTTTAAGAGACTCGTACTCCTCGCTCATGTTGTGTATCGTCTTCCTGATCGTGTCCTTCCTCTGAGTGAGCGTCACCCGATCCTCCTGCAGCCTCTGATGGGACACAATGGCACCACATTCACCATAAGCCTAATAATATTAATATAGGCAGCATAAACTGCCTAATGTGATATAACCACCGCATATTTATTAACTATATCCACCTTTACACTGACAAACAAATGTTGCATATTTTCCCAAAGAGGTTCATTAATTTTGTGACGGTTTGCATCTGTGCTGATATTTGAGTGTTAGAGTAGAGGATCCGACGGATCTGATTTAGGCCCCGTCCACACTACTGCGTTTTCGTTTAAAAACGGAGACCTTTTGCTACGTTTGCACCTCCCGTCCACACTTAAACGGCAAAAACGGAGACCCAAAACGGAGAAGTTTAGAAACGCTGCCGATCCGTTTTTCGTTTTGAATCTCCGGAGGGCGTTTTAGTGTGGACGGGTCAAAACGGAGGACTTAAGAAACGATGGCGTAGTAGAGGCTCACGCTCGGCTCTATGATTGGGTGTCATCAGTCATGGCGTATAGCTTTGCTAGCAGCTGTTGTACAAGTAAATTCTGCATTACAACGCTAACGGCCTACATGCGTCGGAGTCAAGCTATTATTCCAGCGATCTGTGACGATTCCCGTGTGCAGCGGCGGCGTTGACTGTACATGAGCGTCGGTTTGGGGTTAACCCAGAGCATGGTGGGATAATTTTATCAATGAAGTTGTGTTTACACCGGCACGCGCGTGCCCAGTGTTGGTGAATGGTCACATGATCCGCGTTTTCAGTCGTTTTAATGTGGACGGAGATCAATTCTAATGCGCAGCTAAAACGCTGGTGTGGACGGAGATCGTATTCGTTTTAATTATCCGTTTGTAAACTAAAACGCAGTAGTGTGGATGGGGCCTGAGTCTCACAAAGCATTCATACATTTCGTACAAGACTGACGATTTGACAGCTCAACACAAAGAGCTTCGGTGCGCAGTGATCAGCAGTTCCTCGTGTGTGCGGTGCGCCGGTACCTTCTTGCGCTGCTCTCCGGCCGCGGTGAGGGCCTGCAGGTCCCGGTACGTGTGCAGCTCTCGCTTCATGAGCTCCAGCTGATCTCTCAGAGTCTGCAGGTCTGAGCTCACCTTACTCTCCAGCTGCTCCACTTTCAGCAGGTCCTGCTGCAGACGCTCACTCTCTGCAGCACAAACAGCATATCATCATACATGACCAAACACATCATCAGCACTTCAGTTATAAACAAGCCGCCCGAAGCTTAATCTAAGCGGACTATGCAGAGCCACTGTTTATCCTACAGGTGTCACTAACACATTAAATCACAGCAAACATCGTGTAGCTTCACCCATCAGGTGTTCTTTTAACATGAAGATTTTTGTGAAGCGCACATGTACGTGTGTAACTACTGTCTGCTGCTCGTGACCCCACAGCCTGTGAGCAGGAAGGGTTAGGGTTCAGAGGTCAACAATCACAGGCAGATCTGGCCAATCCGTGACAGAGATTCATGACACACTTAAATCTGCAATCCTGCAATGTGGATGAAGAAACACTGAAACTGATCTGTTGAAACGCCGTCCCCGGGGACACTGAGCTCTGATGTGTGTGTGCGCGGCCCGTCCCGCTGGAGACATGCTGATGTGTGTGTGTGTGTGTGCGCGCGGGGCCATGGGAGCTTCAGAGGGGGGCATGTACAGGAAGGAAGTGGAAGAGGGCCGCTTCCCTCTGATAGGCAGACGTGTTTGGAGAGAGACTGTGTGTGTGTGTGTGTGTGAGAGAGAGAAAGAGAGAGAGACTGTGTGGTGTTTGTGTGTGTGTGTGTGTGTGTGTGGAGCAGTCAAAAAACCCTGTCAGCACTTCTGAGCATTCTGGACTGCTTCCTTCTCTAGGGTTCTTTCAGCAGCACCCCACCCCACACACACACACACATACACACACTCTCTCTCTCTCTCTCTCTCTCTCTCTCTCTCTCTCTCTCTCTCTCTCTCTCTCTCTCTCTCTCTCACACACACACACACACACACATACACACACTCTCTCTCTCTCTCACACACACACACACTCTCTCTCACACACACACACATACACACTCTCTCTCTCTCACACACGCACACACACACACACACACACTCTCTCTCTCACACACACACACACACACACTCTCTCTCTCACGACACACACACACCTCACGACACACACACACACACACACACACAGCAAATGCCGGACCGTGTTTCTGCAGGACCGTGAAAGTGAAATATCACAAGATCAACAAACAGGGGAGACACAAACAATGTCCGACTGCTATGAAAAGAGACACTCAGAGGAAGTCGAGTGCCACATTTCTCAATGGCTCTAAGGAGATAAGACAATGTTTGGGAATTTGAGGAGATCACCAAGGAGTTTCATACAAAAGAAGGAAAGACCCTTCACTGGGCAGCAGACACACATTAGAAGAGGAGAGAGAGAGAGAGAGAGAGAGAGAGAGAGAGAGAGAGAGAGAGAGAGAGAGAGAGAGAGAGAGAGAGAGAGAGAGAGAGAGAGAGAGAGAGAGACAGAGAGAGACACACACAGAGAGAGAGAGAGAGAGAGAGAGAGACAGACAGAGTCAGAACTCCGCACCGAAGATGAACATCAAAAAACTAAAAGAAAAAATAAATTCTGTTTCAACACCTAAAGAGTCTGCTAAACCCTTGATGCATCCATCTTTGATACCAATATTTAATTTGAAAGCCACGTTTCTAGCATATGTAAAACCGCATTCTTCCATCTTAAAAATATATCTAAATTACGAAACATGCTTTATCCCAAGGTTTACTGTAGTCAGCAAGATCCAGGCCGTATCCAGATCAGATGGAGGACCTGCGCCTAGACACAACCACAACGCATGATGTAGTCAGCCGGATCCAGGCCGTATCCAGATCAGATGGAGGACCTGCGCCTAGACACAACCACAACGCATGATGTAGTCAGGCGGATCCAGGCCGTATCCAGATCAGATGGAGGACCTGCGCCTAGACACGACCACAACGCATGATGTAGTCAGCCGGATACGGGCCGTATCCAGATCAGATGGAGGACCTGCGCCTAGACACGACCACAACACATGATGCAGTCAGCCGGATACGGGCCGTATCCAGATCAGATGGAGGACCTGCGCCTATACACGACCACAACACATGATGCAGTCAGCCGGATCCGGGCTGTATCCAGATCAGATGGAGGACCTGCACCTACACACGACCACAACGCATGATGTAGTCAGCCGGATACGGGCCGTATCCAGATCAGATGGAGGACCTGCGCCTAGACACAACCACAATGCATGATGTAGTCAGCCGGATACGGGCCGTATCCAGATCAGATGGTGGACCTGCGCCTAGACACGACCACAACGCATGATGTAGTCAGCCGGATACGGGCCGTATCCAGATCAGATGGTGGACCTGCGCCTAGACACGACCACAACGCATGATGTAGTCAGCCGGATCCAGGCCGTATCCAGATCAGATGGAGGACCTGCACCTAGACACGACCACAACGCATGATGTAGTCAGCAAGATCCAGGCCGTATCCAGATCAGATAGAGGACCTGTGCCTCTATCTGATCTGCGCAGGTCCTCCATCTTATCTGGCGCAGGTCCTCCATCTTATCAAGCGCAGGTCCTCCATCTTATCTGGATACGGCCCGGATCCGGCTGACTACATCATGCGTTGTGGTTGTGTCTAGGCACAGGTCCTCTATCTGATCTGGATACGGCCTGGATCCGGCTGACTACATCATGCGTTGTGGTCGTGTCTAGGCACAGGTCCTCTATCTGATCTGGATACGGCCTGGATCCGGCTGACTACATCATGCGTTGTGGTCGTGTCTAGGCACAGGTCCTCCATCTCAGCAAGATCCAGGCCGTATCCAGATCAGATAGAGGACCTGTGCCTAGACACGACCACAACGCATGATGTAGTCAGCCGGATCCGGGCCGTATCCAGATAAGATGGAGGACCTGCGCCTAGACACGACCACAACGCATGATGTAGTCAGCAAGATCCAGGCCGTATCCAGATCAGATAGAGGACCTGTGCCTCTATCTGATCTGCGCAGGTCCTCCATCTTATCTGGCGCAGGTCCTCCATCTTATCAAGCGCAGGTCCTCCATCTTATCTGGATACGGCCCGGATCCGGCTGACTACATCATGCGTTGTGGTTGTGTCTAGGCACAGGTCCTCTATCTGATCTGGATACGGCCTGGATCCGGCTGACTACATCATGCGTTGTGGTCGTGTCTAGGCACAGGTCCTCTATCTGATCTGGATACGGCCTGGATCCGGCTGACTACATCATGCGTTGTGGTCGTGTCTAGGCACAGGTCCTCCATCTCAGCAAGATCCAGGCCGTATCCAGATCAGATAGAGGACCTGTGCCTAGACACGACCACAACGCATGATGTAGTCAGCCGGATCCGGGCCGTATCCAGATAAGATGGAGGACCTGCGCCTAGACACGACCACAACGCATGATGTAGTCAGCAAGATCCAGGCCGTATCCAGATCAGATAGAGGACCTGTGCCTAGACACGACCACAACGCATGATGTAGTCAGCCGGATCCGGGCTGTATCCAGATAAGATGGAGGACCTGCGCCTAGACACGACCACAAAGCATGATGTAGTCAGCCAGATCCAGGCCGTATCCAGATCAGATGGAGGACCTGCGCCTAGACACGACCACAACGCATGATGTAGTCAGCCGGATCCAGGCTGTACCCAGATCAGATGGAGGACCTGCGCCAAGACACGACCACAACGCATGATGTAGTCAGCCGGATCCAGGCTGTACCCAGATCAGCTGGAGGACCTGCGCCAAGACACGACCACAACGCATGATGTAGTCAGCCGGATCCGGGCCGTATCCAGATCAGATGGAGGACCTGCGCCTAGACACGACCACAACACATGATGTAGTCAGCCGGATCCAGGCCGTATCCAGATCAGATGGTGGACGTGCACCTTGACACGACCACAAGGCATGATGTAGTCAGCCGGATACGGGTCGTATCCAGATCAGATGGAGGACCTGCGCCTAGACACGACCACAACACATGATGTAGTCAGCCGGATACGGGCCGTATCCAGATCAGATGGAGGACCTGCGCCTAGACACGACCACAACGCATGATGTAGTCAGCCGGATCCGGGCCGTATCCAGATCAGATGGAGGACCTGCGCCTAGACACGACCACAACGCATGATGTAGTCAGCCGGATCCAGGCCGTATCCAGATCAGATGGAGGACCTGCGCCTAGACACGACCACAACGCATGATGTAGTCAGCCGGATCCGGGCCGTATCCAGATCAGATGGAGGACCTGCGCCTAGACACGACCACAACGCATGATGTAGTCAGCCGGATCCGGGCCGTATCCAGATCAGATGGAGGACCTGCGCCTAGACACGACCACAAAGCAAGATGTAGTCAGCCGGATCCAGGCTGTATCCAGATCAGATGGAGGACCTGCGCCTAGACACGACCACAAAGCATGATGTAGTCAGCCGGATCCGGGCTGTATCCAGATCAGATGGAGGACCTGCGCCTAGACACGACCACAACGCATGATGTAGTCAGCCGGATCCGGGCCGTATCCAGATCAGATGGAGGACCTGCGCCTAGACACGACCACAACGCATGATGTAGTCAGCCGGATACGGGCCGTATCCAGATCAGATGGAGGACCTGCGCCTAGACACGACCACAACACATGATGTAGTCAGCCGGATCCAGGCTGTATCCAGATCAGATGGAGGACCTGCGCCTAGACACGACCACAACGCATGATGTAGTCAGCCGGATACGGGCCGTATCCAGATCAGATGGAGGACCTGCGCCAAGACACGACCACAACGCATGATGTAGTCAGCCGGATCCGGGCCGTATCCAGATCAGATGGAGGACCTGCACCTAGACACGACCACAACGCATGATGTAGTCAGCCGGATCCAGGCCGTATCCAGATCAGATGGTGGACCTGCGCCTAGACACGACCACAACGCATGATGTAGTCAGCCGGATCCGGGCCGTATCCAGATCAGATGGAGGACCTGCGCCTAGACACGACCACAACGCATGATGTAGTCAGCCGGATCCGGGCCGTATCCAGATCAGAGGGAGGACCTGCGCCTAGACACGACCACAACGCATGATGTAGTCAGCCGGATCCAGGCCGTATCCAGATCAGATGGTGGACCTGCGCCTAGACACGACCACAACGCATGATGTAGTCAGCCGGATCCAGGCCGTATCCAGATCAGATGGTGGACCTGCGCCTAGACACGACCACAACGCATGATGTAGTCAGCCGGATCCGGGCCGTATCCAGATCAGATGGTGGACCTGCGCCAAGACACGACCACAACGCATGATGTAGTCAGCCGGATCCAGGCTGTATCCAGATCAGATGGAGGACCTGCGCCTAGACACGACCACAACGCATGATGTAGTCAGCCGGATCCAGGCTGTATCCAGATCAGATGGAGGACCTGCGCCTAGACCATACCTGTCAAGTTTTGGATTTAAAAATAAGGGAAATTTTCCGGCGCCCACCGCGAGCTGTCCCACCTCCCCAACCAAGCTCCAGTATCCCTTACATTTTAAGACAGGTGTTATAGCCTAAATGAAAACACACACACACACACACACATATATAGTGTATATATTAAGAGCATTTATTTAAAGGCTTATTTGCATATTTTCTGTTCATTTAACATTGCTTGTTTTTACATTTACATTTTATTTTCCTTCCACACATTATTTTCATTTCATATTACTTTTCTTTTACAGTTTTTCTTTTCATTTGCAGTTTTTCTTTTCATTTCACATAACTTTTCTTTACTATTTTAGTGAGTTATTGACCAAATTTGTTGCAGACTTTGTATTAACTGTTTTGGAAGGAGTGTATTTGTGGGCTGGGCCAGAGTGGTTAATTTTACATGAGAGTAGAGCAAACAGTTCTGTTGTCTAACGTCATCCTATTCTCTGTAACAATCTTTCGTACCATGCTAAACACCCTTTCTCGTGCTGACATACATCATTCCTTCCCCGTGTGAGATGCTAAAGTCGCAGTTACAAAACGTACAAAACGCGTGACTGTCCCCCACCCTGCTCCTCTTCAGAAAAGTAAATTCGCTATCCCATTGATCGCGGTATTTAGTACATGAAGGTTTTGGTTTTTTGGCAGGAGTACCTTGCTCTGTCATAGCGTCCATCCGTCTCTGTTTTTGTTTGTTTTTTGTTTTCCCCACGTTGTTACTTATCATCTGACCTCACACACTAACCTCGCGACAACTGCCACCTACAGTAATTTACCTGTAGTTATCGCGAGGCTAGTAACAGAGCTCAGATTAGGAATGTTTTCTTTTTTTTACTCCGCCTGGGGTATTATTATTTTTAAATAACGCAGGTTAAAATACGGGAGATTTACGGAAAATACTAATACAGGAGGACGGCGGGAAAGAATGGTAAAATACGGGACTTTCCCGGCCAAAACGGGATACTTGACAGGTATGGCCTAGACACGACCACAACGCATGATGTAGTCAGCCGGATCCAGGCCGTATCCAGATCAGATGGTGGACGTGCACCTAGACACGACCACAACGCATGATGTAGTCAGCCGGACACGGGCCGTATCCAGATCAGATGGAGGACCTGCGCCTAGACACGACCACAACGCATGATATAGTCAGCTGGATCCGGGCCGTATCCAGATCAGATGGAGGACCTGCGCCTAGACACGACCACAACGCATGATGTAGTCAGCCGGATACGGGCCGTATCCAGATCAGATGGAGGACCTGCGCCTAGACACGACCACAACACATGATGTAGTCAGCCGGATACGGGCCGTATCCAGATCAGACGGAGGACCTGCACCTAGACACGACCACAACGCATGATGTAGTCAGCTGGATCCGGGCCGTATCCAGATCAGATGGAGGACCTGCGCCTAGACACGACCACAACGCATGATGTAGTCAGCCGGATACGGGCCGTATCCAGATCAGACGGAGGACCTGCACCTAGACACGACCACAACGCATGATGTAGTCAGCCGGATACGGGCCGTATCCAGATCAGACGGAGGACCTGCACCTAGACACGACCACAACGCATGATGTAGTCAGCTGGATCCGGGCCGTATCCAGATCAGATGGAGGACCTGCGCCTAGACACGACCACAACGCATGATGTAGTCAGCTGGATCCGGGCCGTATCCAGATCAGATGGAGGACCTGCGCCTAGACACGACCACAACGCATGATGTAGTCAGCCGGATACGGGCCGTATCCAGATCAGATGGAGGACCTGCGCCTAGACACGACCACAACGCATGATGTAGTCAGCCGGATCCAGGCCGTATCCAGATCAGATGGAGGACCTGCACCTAGACACGACCACAACGCATGATGTAGTCAGCCGGATCCGGGCCGTATCCAGATCAGATGGAGGACCTGCGCCTAGACACGACCACAACGCATGATGTAGTCAGCTGGATCCGGGCCGTATCCAGATCAGATGGAGGACCTGCACCTAGACACGACCACAACGCATGATGTAGTCAGCCGGATCCAGGCCGTATCCAGATCAGATGGAGGACCTGCACCTAGACACGACCACAACGCATGATGTAGTCAGCCGTATCCGGGCCATATCCAGATCAGACGGAGGACCTGCACCTAGACACGACCACAACGCATGATGTAGTCAGCCGGATACGGGCCGTATCCAGATCAGATGGAGGACCTGCGCCTAGACACGACCACAACGCATGATGTAGTCAGCCGGATCCAGGCCGTATCCAGATCAGATGGAGGACCTGCACCTAGACACGACCACAACGCATGATGTAGTCAGCCGGATCCAGGCCGTATCCAGATCAGATGGAGGACCTGCACCTAGACACGACCACAACGCATGATGTAGTCAGCCGGATCCGGGCCGTATCCAGATCAGATGGAGGACCTGCGCCTAGACACGACCACAACGCATGATGTAGTCAGCTGGATCCGGGCCGTATCCAGATCAGATGGAGGACCTGCACCTAGACACGACCACAACGCATGATGTAGTCAGCCGGATCCAGGCCGTATCCAGATCAGATGGAGGACCTGCACCTAGACACGACCACAACGCATGATGTAGTCAGCCGTATCCGGGCCATATCCAGATCAGACGGAGGACCTGCACCTAGACACGACCACAACGCATGATGTAGTCAGCCGGATACGGGCCGTATCCAGATCAGATGGAGGACCTGCGCCTAGACACGACCACAACGCATGATGTAGTCAGCCGGATCTAGGCCGTATGGTTAGGGTTAGGTTTCATGTTATTGAAGTTTACACAGAGATGATAATGGTTTCGTTTTCAAAAACTTGCACTTTGAAACCTATTTCAAAGTTTGCGTTCTCAGGCCACCAAAATGGCGGTGTCGTGTAAACAAACGGCCAGAACGCATTAAAAGTTTTCTGTTTTCAGTTGAAACCGGTGTCATGTAAGCAGCCCCTAAGTTAAAAACGAATGATCTTTTACCACAGAAAAGAATCAATCAAATACTTACTTAAGGTGGACAATGACTTTCTTCTAAATCTGCTGTAAAGCCTAAACAATCTTTGTTGCATTAATTTCCTGTTATCACTGTAAAGCTGCTTTAAAACAATCTATATTGTAAAAAGCGCTGTATAAATGAAGGAGACTTGACGGAGATGCTCACGGAAAATCCCCAACCTGAACAACTACCAGAGGAGAAAGAGCGTCACTACTCGCCTGATCCACAGCTCCGCTGCACAGGACCTGAGAGAAACACGCTCTTATCCCGACTCATTCAAACCGGAAATATGTCAATGAGAAACTTCTATTCCCAAATATCAGAGCCAAGAAAATCTGACAGAAGTAGTGCTTATCAGATCCTGTCTGAGAGAAACCTGAATGAAAACTATAAGCACATCATAATCCACACCGAAACAACTGACATGAGGGCCTTGAAGGGCTGTGGGGCTCCTGTGATCACTACACTTACCAGAGGCTAGAATAACTCTGTCTGCATTACTACCACACTCTGATGGACCAGTCCACATGCTCATGGAAATGAACCACGATTATTTATTTATTTGTGAATTTTATTAATTTTTGTGAAACTCTTTGTTTATTTGTGAATCTCAATCTATTTATTTAGCTTCTGACATAACCTGCATTACTCACACACATTTATATATATATATATATCCAGGTAAATACACACAGCAGTGAGAGAAAGACTGACCCGAGGAGAGGCCTCTGGCGGTGCTGTGGGACTTCTGCATCTCCGTCTCCTTGAAGCTCAGATCGTCCTGCATGGACCGAAGCTCCTGCGCTGTGACAGCGGACAGCTGATGCAGACGACTGATGTTCTGAGAAACACCACACACTCGCTGTCATGACTAACTCTAGCACGTTACAGGGTGTGTGTTTGTCGTGAGAGAGGTGTGTGTGTGTGTGTACCCTGCTGGAGTGCTCCAGTAAAGCCACGACACTGCTCTGAGAATCTCTGATCAGCTGCTGCTCCTGACTTTTATTCTCCTCAAACGTGTTTAAATACGCTGTGAAAACACACAAGCTCATCATCTAATGATCAACACGAGGCGTCTAACCCTAACATGCATCAGTGTGTGTGTGTGTGTGTGTGACAGACTCACAGTCCATCTCCTCCTCTCTCTTCTGCAGCTCCTTGTACTTCTGAGTTCGTTCCCCTGTGCAGACGGTAAACATGGGTTACACTCGACTCAGGCTATTGTAGTTGGTGCATTAAAGGGGACATTAGAGAAATCAATTTCCCTTCATGTTTTGAATTTAAAAAAGCTTGATGTACTATAAAAACATGCTGTAACTGAGAATTCAAACAGTCCAAATATAGCAGAGCAACTGAAAATAATACATGACACCACACACACATTTACACCAACGAAGCCTATTCGGTGTTCAGAAACGCCCTTCTGAGACAGTTTTATTATTATTATTACAACTAAATACCAAAGTCTCAGTTTGTATAGAACTAACTATCATATCTGGAGATTTCTATGAGCAACAATGCTGTTGTTCTGAATATCAGAAACATGTTTGTTGTTAAATAGGTTTACAATGAACAATATTTCACTGAAATGCTTAACATACATTAAAAACTGATGAAGTCAAGTCTTCTACTATTTCCCCTTCCCCATTCCTCTCTCTCTAAATCAACAGTCTATGATCATCCCAAATTAAATGCATTTTCATATTTAAAGAAAAGCACCTTGATGTTCCTCCATGTCAGCGTCTAGTTGCCGCATCTCTTCGGTGAGATTGCTAATTTTCTCACGTACCTCTGACAGTCTACATGAAAACAGGATATTCATTTTAGTCTTTTTTATGTACTGATCATAAGACACACTGTGTATAAGTAAATACAATATTTGCATACAACACCATAATGACTGAAGCATGCATTTATAGTGCGATATTGTGGATCTACAAACCAACTGAGAGTGTATACTCAAGTGAACATTCAAGGTTGACCAAAACAAACATGCGTATGGTTTATAAATACATACTGCCGTTCCATGCTGGCTATTTCCTGGTTGTTTTCTTTCACCTAAAACCAGCAATAGAACAGTCATGTTCACGTCCGTTGAAATCTTTGAATGTACTAAATGTAATGAAATATAATTGTTGAGAGACCTGTTTAAAGAGGCGTTCCCTCTCCTCTTGTGGAGAGCCCATGTTCCGGTCTTCAGTCAGCAGGGCGTCTCTGCGGTTCTCCAGATCCAGGAGCTTCTCATGAAGCACGACTGCCTCCTGTTTAGCCTGAGAGTGAACCAGATCCTGCAAACACAGAGGAGAGAGTGAACCAGATCTACCTTGATGATCCATCTTCTGAATCTCTTAAGAAGGTCTGGCACGAACAGAGAAAAGAAACGCAATGGACTCTACAGCAACTACAGAATCAGTGTTGGACGTCTAAGGCTCAGCAGATTCAATCTTTTGCAGACAAGCATGATATGCATAACTTTTATAATGCAGTGAAGACCATTTATGGCCCCAGATCTTACTCTGTCAGCTGATGAACTGACTCTCATTAAGGACCAAACAGGCATTGTTCAAAGATGGGGGAACATTTCCAAGCCTTATTAAACCAAAAGGCATTAGTTCATCTTACAGTGTTACAGGAACTACCAACTTTACAAAGAATACAAAGTCTTTTTCTGAAGTGTATGCTGCAATCAAGGAATTGAAAAACAGCAAGTCCCCTGGACCTGACTGTGTTCCTGCTGAGCTCCCGGAGGAAGGGTTAACCCTAACCCTGGACCTGACTGTGTTCCTGCTGAGCCCCCGAAGGAAGGGTTAACCCTAACCCTGGACCTGACTGTGTTCCTGCTGAGCTCCCGAAGGAAGGGTTAACCCTAACCCTGGACCTGACTGTGTTCCTGCTGAGCTCCCGAAGGAAGGGTTAACCCTAACCCTGGACCTGACTGTGTTCCTGCTGAGCTCCCGAAGGAAGGGTTAAGCCTAACCCTGGACCTGACTGTGTTCCTGCTGAGCTCCCGAAGGAAGGGTTAACCCTAACCCTGGACCTGACTGTGTTCCTGCTGAGCTCCTGAAGGAAGGGTTAACCCTAACCCTGGACCTGACTGTGTTCCTGCTGAGCTCCCGAAGGAAGAGTTAACCCTAACCCTGGACCTGACTGTGTTCCTGCTGAGCTCCCGAAGGAAGGGTTAACCCTAACCCTGGACCTGACTGTGTTCCTGCTGAGCTCCCGAAGGAAGGGTTAACCCTAACCCTGGACCTGACTGTGTTCCTGCTGAGCTCCTGAAGGAAGGGTTAACCCTAACCCTGGACCTGACTGTGTTCCTGCTGAGCTCCCAAAGGAAGGGTTAACCCTAACCCTGGACCTGACTGTGTTCCTGCTGAGCTCCTGAAGGAAGGGTTAACCCTAACCCTGGACCTGACTGTGTTCCTGCTGAGCTCCCGAAGGAAGGGTTAACCCTAACCCTGGACCTGACTGTGTTCCTGCTGAGCTCCCGAAGGAAGGGTTAACCCTAACCCTGGACCTGACTGTGTTCCTGCTGAGCTCCTGAAGGAAGGGTTAACCCTAACCCTGCACAAGGGCAATCCATCAGTTCATCAGACTAGTGTGGCAGCAGGAAAATATTCCCCAACAATGGAAAGATGCAAATTTTGTCACAATATATAAAAACAAGGGTGATAGGTCCATCTGTGAAAATAGTAGGGGGATCTCACTTCTTTCGGCTGCAGAATCACATCCCTGAGTAATACTACTTTACATCTACACCCAAAGATTGCTGTATATCAACTGAGATGGCTTACGCCTTCCACGTAAGATAATGTACGGTCAATTACATCTTGGCTCCCGATTTGCAGGAGGCCAAAAAAAGAGGCTGAAAGACCAACTAAAAGGCTTTCTTGAGAAGTGTGTGATGAAGCCCACATCCCTGGAAACTAGTGCAGTGAATCGCAAGCTCTGGCAGCAACTTTGTCAGAATGGAGTACAAGGTTATGAAGACAGGAGAACTGATCATCGCCTGACTAGAAGACATCAGAGAGAGCAGGCCATGCTCGTTCCTGCTCCTCAAGACAAGCAGGAGAAACTGTTATATGCCCTGTGTGTAGAAGACAGTGTGCGTCCCGCATCTATACAGTCATCAAAGAACACACACATTATAAGAGAAGTCATCATCGCACGACGATGGACTACCCAGAAGTGTGTGTGTGTGTGTGTGTGTGTGTGTGTGTGTGTGTGTGTGTGTGTGTGTGTGTGTGTGTGTGTGTGTGTGTGCGCATGTGTATGTGTGCGCGTGTGTGGTGTGTGTGTGTGTGTGCGTGTGGTGTGTGTGTGTGTGTGTGCGTGTGTCTGTGTGTGTGTCCACTCACCGCCTCAAACGTCTCCTTCCGACTCATCAGAGCGTCCAGTTCCTCCTGATGGGAGTTCAGCTCCTGGACGAGAGGAAAGTCACGGCACATCCGGTCAGTGAACTTCTAATCACCCGCATAAACCATTTCTAGACTTTTTTAATTTAAAGTGTGGAGTCGGCAGTGGAGCTTACTGAAGCTATTTCCCCACTAAATTACACTTCATGTAGACATGCTTCACTTTTTTTTTTTCAGTATTTACATCTATTTGGCAAACACAATGGCATTCAAGCTATATGTTATTTTCCCAGTTCTTGTGTTGCTGGGAATCAAACCCTCGACGTTGGCGTTGACAATTTCTGATCTATAACAGGCCATTTTTGCCCCTTTAAATATTAATTTCTAGGGGCATTTATACCATTATAAGAGCAAGTTTTTCTAATATTATTAAATGTATGCATACTCTTTTGTCAATTTCTTAAATTAAAATAGAATATTTGTTTTTAAATGTTAATTTAAACAGTAAATTCAGTTAGAACAATAAGACACCACCAGACTGTTACCAATCAAAAAAAAAAAAAACATCTTTGCAGTGCAGAAGCGGCACAGAAGCTGCATCTGAAGTGGTGTTAGACACATCTACATAGATTGCTCATGGGGAAATAATGCTGTATTAATATTTTAAATATTTTAAGAATTTGGCGGCAAGTCTAAATGTGTGAGTCATTCTTTCAATCGTTCAAAACGCAGATTCATTCAAGAATGACCATTGCTTGGAGATGCGCAACAGTTCTGGTGTGGCTTTGTCTGAAACTATTTTCAGGATATAAAGCAAAAACAGACAGTATTATGGCGAAAATGTTAAGTCACTTAATATCAACTTGTTTATTGGACTTTTGTACAAGATCAGTATCACATTTGCAATCATGCCAATACTCTGAGAAGCAGGAGTCGTGTGATGTTGCTTAACTATAGATCAGATGTGATAAAGATTAAAGCTGCAGTCCGTAACTGTTGGCGCTCTAGCGGTTAATAAACATGCATGGATCTTGAGGAAGAACAACATAGCCGGATCTACTTCTCTGTGTCCCCACGCAGGTACTGGACCCGAACCAGGCTAAACTAGTCCCACTATAAACGCAACTGCTGCTTAGAGTAGATGCTTTCTGGGAGTTGTACTTTTTATTCTGCATGTATTATGGCATTTGTCCATTCCACTGCGCCACTTTTCCATTACTTTTGCCTAATAGGCTCTAGATCGGGTCACTCGCACCGGTGTTATTTTGGGTTGCAGTGAACAGTATATGATACATCAGGCCTGTTACTGTGATCTTGCTGATGAGGTCATGACACTGGTGGAGTAACCCTGACCTGCAGCAGCTCTTCATTGGTGGCCTTCCTCTCAGTGTACTTGGCCTGTTTCTCCGCACTCATCTTCTTGACGATGTCTTGGGCCGCCTGTTTCTCCTGGACTATATTATCCTCCACGGCGCGGATCAGATCCTCTTTCCTGACAGAGAGAAAGTTGAAGTTATAACTATACATCCTAATCACACACTGTTCTTCTTCAGGCCAGAGGAGAACTGAGCGGCAGAGTCTGGTTTCTCAAGGGTTTTACTCTATTCTGTCACTGATGTTTGTGTTCGCGCTGCTGTCGCCTCTTCATTAGTTGTGGACACTTAATATCCAACAGTGTTATTGATCTGGACGCACTGACGCTGCTGTACGAGAGTTGAGCTGATAATGACATCACTGTGTTCTCCAGAACTGCTTTATAGAAGAAATGAACTAATTTAATAACTGATGATCTGTACAACAGAACTGACTAAACACTAAACTGACTTGAGTTCGAAATCCATTATCTGCCTGTTATCTCTGTACAGCTGCACTGAAACGGTCAGTATTGTATAAAGCGCTGTATGAATAGAGTTGACAGAGAGAGGCACTGGTCAGTATTGTATATAGCGCTGTATGAATAGAGTTGACAGAGAGAGGCACTGGTCAGTATTGTATGAAGCGCTGTATGAATAGAGTGGACAGAGAGAGGCGCTGGTCAGTATTGTATAGAGTGCTGTATGAATAGAGTGGACAGAGAGAGGCACTGGTTAGAATTGTATAAAGCGCTGTATGAATAGAGTTGACAGAGAGAGGCGCTGGTCAGTATTGTATATAGCGCTGTATGAATAGAGTTGACAGAGAGAGGCACTGGTCAGAATTGTATAAAGCGCTGTATGAATAGAGTTGACAGAGAGAGGCGCTGGTCAGTATTGTATAAAGCGCTGTATGAATAGAGTTGACAGAGAGAGGCGCTGGTCAGTACTGTATATAGCGATGTATGAATAGAGTTGACAGAGAGAGGCGCTGGTCAGTATTGTATAAAGCGCTGTATGTATAGAGTTGACAGAGAGAGGCGCTGGTCAGTATTGTATATAGCGCTGTATGTATAGAGTTGACAGAGAGAGGCGCTGGTCAGTATTGTATAAAGCGCTGTATGAATAGAGTTGACAGAGAGAGGGACTGGTCAGTATTGTATAAAGCGCTGTATGAATAGAGTTGACAGAGAGAGGCACTGGTCAGTATTGTATATAGCGCTGTATGAATAGAGTAGACAGAGAGAGGCACTGGTCAGTATTGTATAAAGCGCTGTATGAATAGAGTTGACAGAGAGAGGCACTGGTCAGTATTGTATATAGCGCTGTATGAATAGAGTTGACAGAGAGAGGCACTGGTCAGAATTGTATAAAGCGCTGTATGAATAGAGTTGACAGAGAGAGGCGCTGGTCAGTATTGTATAAAGCGCTGTATGAATAGAGTTGACAGAGAGAGGCACTGGTTAGAATTGTATAAAGCGCTGTATGAATAGAGTTGACAGAGAGAGGCGCTGGTCAGTATTGTATAAAGCGCTGTATGAATAGAGTTGACAGAGAGAGGCGCTGGTCAGTACTGTATATAGCGATGTATGAATAGAGTTGACAGAGAGAGGCGCTGGTCAGTATTGTATAAAGCGCTGTATGTATAGAGTTGACAGAGAGAGGCGCTGGTCAGTATTGTATATAGCGCTGTATGTATAGAGTTGACAGAGAGAGGCGCTGGTCAGTATTGTATAAAGCGCTGTATGAATAGAGTTGACAGAGAGAGGGACTGGTCAGTATTGTATAAAGCGCTGTATGAATAGAGTTGACAGAGAGAGGCACTGGTCAGTATTGTATATAGCGCTGTATGAATAGAGTAGACAGAGAGAGGCACTGGTCAGTATTGTATAAAGCGCTGTATGAATAGAGTTGACAGAGAGAGGCGCTGGTCAGTATTGTATAAAGCGCTGTATGAATAGAGTTGACAGAGACAGGCGCTGGTCAGTATTGTATATAGCGCTGTATGAATAGAGTGGACAGAGAGAGGCACTGGTCAGTATTGTATATAGCGCTGTATGAATAGAGTGGACAGAGAGAGGCACTGGTAAGTATTGTATAAAGCGCTGTATGAATAGAGTTGACAGAGAGAGGCGCTGGTCAGTATTGTATAAAGCGCTGTATGAATAGAGTTGACAGAGACAGGCGCTGGTCAGTATTGTATAAAGCGCTGTATGAATAGAGTTGACAGAGAGAGGCGCTGGTCAGTATTGTATAAAGCGCTGTATGAATAGAGTTGACAGAAAGAGGCGCTGGTCAGTATTGTATAAAGCGCTGTATGAATAGAGTTGACAGAAAGAGGCGCTGGTCAGTATTGTATAAAGCGCTGTATGAATAGAGTTGACAGAAAGAGGCGCTGGTCAGTATTGTATAAAGCGCTCTATGAATAGAGTTGACAGAGACAGGCGCTGGTCAGTATTGTATATAGCGCTGTATGAATAGAGTTGACAGAGAGAGGCGCTGGTCAGTATTGTATATAGCGCTGTATGAATAGAGTGGACAGAGAGAGGCACTGGTCAGTATTGTATAAAGCCCTGTATGAATAGAGTTGACAGAGAGAGGCGCTGGTCAGTATTGTATAAAGCGCTGTATGAATAGAGTTGACAGAAAGAGGCGCTGGTCAGTATTGTATAAAGCGCTGTATGAATAGAGTGGACAGAGACAGGCGCTGGTCAGTATTGTATATAGCGCTGTATGAATAGAGTGGACAGAGAGAGGCACTGGTCAGTATTGTATATAGCGCTGTATGAATAGAGTTGACAGAAAGAGGCGCTGGTCAGTATTGTATAAAGCGCTGTATGAATAGAGTTGACAGAGAGAGGCACTGGTCAGTATTGTATAAAGCGCTGTATGAATAGAGTGGACAGAGAGAGGTGCTAGTCAGTATTGTATAAAGCGCTGTATGAATAGAGTTGACAGAGAGAGGCACTGGTTAGAATTGTATAAAGCGCTGTATGAATAGAGTTGACAGAGAGAGGCGCTGGTCAGTATTGTATAAAGCGCTGTATGAATAGAGTTGACAGAGAGAGGCGCTGGTCAGTATTATATAAAGCCCTGTATGAATAGAGTAGACAGAGAGAGGCACAGGTCAGTATTGTATAAAGCGCTGTATGAATAGAGTTGACAGAGAGAGGCGCTGGTCAGTACTGTATATAGCGATGTATGAATAGAGTTGACAGAGAGAGGCGCTGGTCAGTATTGTATAAAGCGCTGTATGTATAGAGTTGACAGAGAGAGGCGCTGGTCAGTATTGTATATAGCGCTGTATGTATAGAGTTGACAGAGAGAGGCGCTGGTCAGTATTGTATAAAGCGCTGTATGAATAGAGTTGACAGAGAGAGGGACTGGTCAGTATTGTATAAAGCGCTGTATGAATAGAGTTGACAGAGAGAGGCACTGGTCAGTATTGTATATAGCGCTGTATGAATAGAGTAGACAGAGAGAGGCACTGGTCAGTATTGTATAAAGCGCTGTATGAATAGAGTTGACAGAGAGAGGCACTGGTCAGTATTGTATATAGCGCTGTATGAATAGAGTTGACAGAGAGAGGCGCTGGTCAGTATTGTATATAGCGCTGTATGAATAGAGTTGACAGAGAGAGGCGCTGGTCAGTAGTGTATAAAGCGCTGTATGAATAGAGCGGACAGAGAGAGGCACTGGTCAGTATTGTATAAAGCGCTGTATGAATAGAGTTGACAGAGAGAGGCGCTGGTCAGTATTGTATAAAGCGGTGTATGAATAGAGTTGACAGAGAGAGGCACTGGTCAGTATTGTATAAAGCGCTGTATGAATAGAGTGGACAGAGAGAGGCACTGGTCAGTATTGTATATAGCACTGCATGAATAGAGTTGACAGAGAGAGGCGCTGGTCAGTAGTGTATAAAGCGCTGTATGAATAGAGCGGACAGAGAGAGGCACTGGTCAGTATTGTATAAAGCGCTGTATGAATAGAGTTGACAGAGAGAGGCGCTGGTCAGTATTGTATAAAGCGCTGTATGAATAGAGTGGACAGAGAGAGGCACTGGTCAGTATTGTATAAAGCGCTGTATGAATAGAGTTGACAGAGAGAGGCGCTGGTCAGTATTGTATAAAGCGCTGTATGAATAGAGTTGACAGAGAGAGGCTCTGGTCAGTATTGTATAAAGCGCTGTATGAATAGAGTTGACAGAGAGAGGCACTGGTCAGTATTGTATAAAGCGCTGTATGAATAGAGTTGACAGAGAGAGGCACTGGTCAGTATTGTATAAAGCGCTGTATGAATAGAGTGGACAGAGAGAGGCACTGGTCAGTATTGTATATAGCACTGCATGAATAGAGTTGACAGAGAGAGGCGCTGGTCAGTATTGTATAAAGCGCTGTATGAATAGAGTTGACAGAGAGAGGCGCTGGTCAGTTTTGTATAAAGCGCTGTATGAATAGAGTTGACAGAGAGAGGTGCTGGTCAGTATTGTATATAGCGCTGTATGAATAGAGTTGACAGAGAGAGGCACTAGTCAGTATTGTATATAGCGCTGTATGAATAGAGTTGACAGAGAGAGGCACTGGTCAGTATTGTATAAAGCGCTGTATGAATAGAGTGGACAGAGAGAGTTACTGGTCAGTATTGTATAAAGCGCTGTATGAATAGAGTTGACAGAGAGAGGCGCTGGTCAGTATTGTATATAGCGCTGTATGAATAGAGTTGACAGAGAGAGGCACTAGTCAGTATTGTATATAGCGCTGTATGAATAGAGTTGACAGAGAGAGGCACTGGTCAGTATTGTATAAAGCGCTGCATGAATAGAGTTGACAGAGAGAGGCACTGGTCAATATTGTATAAAGCGCTGTATGAATAGAGGTGACAGAGAGAGGCGCTGGTCAGTATTGTATAGAGTGCTGTATGAATAGAGTTGACAGAGAGAGGCACTGGTCAGTATTGTATATAGCGCTGTATGAATAGAGTTGACAGAGAGAGGCGCTGGTCAGTATTGTATATAGCACTGTATGAAAAGAGTTGACAGAGAGAGGCGCTGGTCAGTATTGTATAGAGTGCTGTATGAATAGAGTTGACAGAGAGAGGCACTGGTCAGTATTGTATAAAGCGCTGTATGAATAGAGGTGAC